TTCCCTTTCTTTCATGTTCGGAACATAGTTGGGGTTTCTAACCAAATGTATGTTTCCAAACCCAGAAGTAACACTTTTGTTTGCCTTGACATTTTTGGTCAAAACGGATTGACATCATAACCCCAATAAAATGCTATATGTGTATAACCTAGGAAGCCCACAAAATTCTACAGACTCTAGAGGAAAATTCTTATTACAAACAAAATATACTTTATTATTTTTATTTTCATAAATCAAATTACCTTTGACAGATTCCTTTATTACAGCAACAAACTGAAGCCAGAGAACATCAGGATCAATTTCAACCCAGCCAATTTGAGGACAAACACTTACTACCTATGGAAAATACAAGATTTAGTATAAACAACATAAGATCAAGTCAGTAGTATCTGGGTCTTAAGATTACTTGTTAAAATCACTAATATTTTTATTGATTATCTAATTTATTTTTAAAGTGGAAAAAAATATTTACTAGTATACGAAATAAGAAAGGATGATACACCAAAATAACAGTTTTCTTCAGTTTATGAGTTTACAGAAGATGTTATCTTTATTTTCCAAGTTTATCTTTACTTTCTAAGATTCCTACAATAAAGCCATGTTATTGCAATAAAAAAAGAGGCAGACACTTAAAAAACAAAAATTAACAGATAACATACCAAGTTCTGGTTCAGACTATGTTGGAGCAAACATACTCCACTCTGTCCCTCTCACTGAATGCAGATATAAAAGCTGGGCAGAATGTATGGAGAAGCTATATGGGGACTCAAGAAAGTATACTGGGGCAGGTGGAGAGGGTTAGAAGATAGGAATTCAAGTACCACTGGACTGGTGGTAAGTTTCCTATTTTTCTTCTAGTATTCCCTGGCCTGGACTCAAGGCAGCCTGAAAACCAGAAGTGAGAACCAGGATGCAGTAAATACCCTAAGAGAAGCACTTTTCTTTTGGCCAACACTCAGAGGGAATGAGGGAAAGCCCCCATATTTCTTTTCTTTCCCCCACCCCTTGCCTCCACACTTTTGTACCCAGGCTAACCCGGTAGCTGCGTCAGCAACCGCAAACACCTAAAGTACTGAGGGGATAAAGCTTTCTCTCCAATCAAAGGAGCTGTGGGTCCAAAAGGGTAATGTGAGCCCCCATGGCTTTTTTCTCTCTCTATGCTCCTGATGCCTATCCCCAGATATGGGAAATGCCTGGCAGAATAGTGTAATGGAAGCTCCAGCTTTCTAGGAAGATCTCAGAGAGAAAGGAGCTTGAGAAAGCTATTCCAGAAAGTTGTGTGTAAATTCCTAGGCTCACCTCAAAGCTGCACATGTGCAAATGTGATCCTATACAGCATAGCAAAGATGTTAAGATCAGAACTACGGGGCAGACCACTTGACCACTGGGTGGCACATACACAGGGCATATCCAAACAGTACTTCCAAGTGTGAGAACAGAACACTGAAACTAAAGTCCACAGAAGGCTGGTCAGAATTTTTAGTCTGAGCCCAACTGCATTAATTGCCTGCTACAAGAAAAATACAAACATTCATCATAGGATTTACACAAGAACCAGGGTATTAAACCATGATATTCAAAAGGTCCAGGATACAATCCAAAATTACAAGGTATATAAAAGAAGAGAAAAATCTCAACTCAGAAAGGAAAAGATAATCAGTAGATACCAATGCCAAAATGACACAGAAGATATCTGAAAAGGGTTTTAAAGCAGCTCCAAGAACAACAAATTCTTTTGAAACAAGTGGAAAGACAGAAAGTCTCAGCAAAAAAACAGAAGACATAAAAAAATTTTAGGAAGGGGAAGGAAGAAGGCGACTGGCAGGAAGGTAGGAGGGAGAGAGTGTGAGAGCGCGAGGGAGCGATAGAGGAGTGTGCGGACCTGTGTGGTGTGTGTGTGTATGAGTAGGGACAGTTAGATTCTGCAGGTCTTCCAAGGGGCTGCCAAACCGGGCAGTCTTAGATGGCAGAGCCCCGCTCCCAGCGTGGACACTCCGGGCAGCCAGCGCAGGCACAGAGACCAGGCCATCTCAAGAAACAGAGGTGCTTGAGACTTGGATCCTGGCCTCAGCACCACCCAGTCTGGTCTCAGACACAAACTAGGACCCTGCAGCCACTGGGGACAGAGACCTGCGACCACAGCTGCAGACCCACAGACACCAAAAATCCAGACATCCCGGCTGCAAATTTCTGTGAGTCACAGAGCCTAGCTCCCTCCCTACAGGCTTACTGGCAGCGCCATAGTAACTGGTAGACCCGCCCCTTGCACAGGCCATAGCCCTGCTACAGGATTTGAGCCTGGGAGTGCGCGGACACTGGGAATCTGTTCCCTGCAATGCAATCGGGCGACCAAACCCGAAGCCCACACAGTACAGAAGTGCCACCTGACTTCGATTCTGGGCAAGCAGCGCACGGAAGTCTGTTTTCCGCAGTGCAGGAGTGGACCTCCTGCCAACACAGGGCTACTCTGCAACCCGGTCCCCCAAGCTGACCTGGATCCCAATTCTCTGGGCGGGAGGCAGCACTGAGCACCAGTGACTTGACTCTGTTTCTTATCACATAGGCCTGGGATCCCTGACTCACAGTGCATTCACACTAAGAGACAGTGACTCCAATTCTTGGTGCATGCACACACAGGGACCCTGATTCTCAGCGCAAGGTCGCACGAAGCAACAGAGACTCTGATACTCGATTCTTGGTGCAGGCACAGGGGAACTCTGACTCCTGGCTTGTGCTAGGGGACTCTGATTTTCTACACATGCCAGCGAGGTCTCTGTTTCAGTGTGGTACAGGCAGGGTCCCTGATTCTAGGTGCATGCACGAGGCCACACTGAGTGCTCGTAATGCTGACCCTGGGCGAGCCCGGTTCGCACCAACCCACGGGTGCCACACATCTTGGTGTCAGAGCTCTTCAGTGATACTCGGGTGATGCAAACCTCCCACTGCACACAGCCCAGGCCCATGCAACTCAACGTTTGAACTCTCTGCTGATAGTCTGAATGGGGAGACAACACAATCCCCAGAAGAAAGAAAATGAGGAGTCACCAAGAAAGGAAATTAGTAAAACTGAAGCATGCAACATGACAGAAAATGAATTCAGAGTAATGGTCATACAATTCTTACACCAATGGATGACAAAATCAACAACCTATACAAGAATCAGGAAGAAATCAAAAGTGATACAGTTACAATAAAAAACACCATGGAAGATTTCAACAGTTACTAGAAGAAGCAGAGGACCAAATTAGTGAGTTAAAAGATAAGGTAGAGAAACAAGCTCAATCTGAGCACCCTCCT